ACTTCAGGAACAAATAGAGATCTGCTTTTGAAAAATTCCATTTCCTACCCCAAAATGAATTTTAAATGGAAAAGGACTAAGGGCATTAACTTTTCATTTTATATGTCATATGTGCTTAAATTTTTGCTATGTCAACATGATATGACATCTTTCCGTGAAGATTTACCGTACGTTTTGAGAGAAGGCAAAGGCAAGAGTCTCTTCTCTTTAGAACACTCCCCATGAGTATGGCCCCTGCTGCAGGCTGGTGGGGCGTGTGGATACCACTAGGTATCGGTACATCTGCCGCCAAAGAGAAGTCTTGAGAAGCTGGACAGAGTTTATTAAGAATGTATACAATTATCTAACGTTTGAACAGTGTTAGCGGTCCAGATTTTAGCTTAGGAAGGCATAGGCTTTCCCCGCCCCTCCTCCCCACCTTAAATTTCACTCTGATAAGCTTTGGAACATTTAAGAGTGGTACAATTTGCATTTATAATATATTTCTTTTCTTTCTGAAAAATGAAAAGATGATGTCTTTTAGAATAGCAATTGCTTAAATGCCTACCCTCGGCTTCCCACTCCGAAATGACACAAACAAATTTGAATCCTGCTAGGAACAAAAATTAAGAACACTGCTCTACATCAGTGACCCGATAAATGTACTTTTACCCACCATCAAAGCTCCTACTGGGGTCAAAAGCCACCCACGTTAGGAAATACTATCCTGGAAAAAGAGTGGGGCCATCAGTAAAAGAGAATCAAGCCATCAGCAAAAGAATGAAGGAGCCTGAGTACTGGGGAAATAATGTCAACCTTGTTTTCTAGGGTATGTCTTAAAATACAGTCTTATATTTTTAAAAAAGGCATCCATTGCTCTGACTAATTGCCTAAATTAAGATTTAAGGTGGAGGTGGCGGGAAGGGGCTGACGTGAGGCTCCATGACTAACTGTCCACGTTGCTTCCCACTCCATACTGGCAGCCTTGGGAGGGAAGAATGGCAAGTAGGAAAGAAGGAGGAGGAAGACAGTTGGTAATTTGGATGGGTGTTGGCTGAGATGATGCCATTCAGTGGATGTCCAGAAGCAAGTGAAAGGAGCCAACACAAAGGGGAGCGAGTCCATGCGCCAACTGGGTGCTCAGTGGGTTGTGAGGCTCTGAGCACAGATGTGTTCCTGGCACTTCACAGGACATTGTATTTCCTCTCTGTGTGGCACAGCGGGAGCAGGCTGGACCGGGAGTCAGGATGTGAGTGCAGGTACTGGCTTCCCGACCAACTGACCATAGGCTATTGAACTTATAATAAATATGAGAATAAACAATGTAGTCGAAGTAGAAGTTTCTGGTCCCTGGAAGATGGGGATTTTATGAATCAGAATGTTCATTTTCAAAGTCAAAATCTTACCTCTATCAACAATGTATAAAATTATCCGATAGACATGTTGCCAGGTCAAACCTCGGAATGAACGAACGCACACGCACACGCACTCACACAGCTCCATTCTTCAATTTCTCAACAATTCATGAGAAAGGAGAGTTTCCATTCCAACTCAGTATCAGGGAAAATATCACCCGAGGGCAGATAGCTGAATTAAATTTAACTGACATCTCACATATCAAAAATACTTAAACAGTGACTCATGTACCTTGCTACTTGTAATTTTTTTTTTTAATTCCAAGTGTTGTTTGATAATGAATGGTAATGGGAAAATCACACTCTCAAAATAAGTTTATAAAATGTATAATTATGAAAAGGACTGAATTATATGTAACTCCTGATCCTTAAAGGTGTGGAGGGTTTCTAGAAGTTGAACTCTATAAAAGCAAATAATTGAAAACAATCTTAATACAATCGGATGGTCCTCAACAATGCCTTAGTTTTAAAAATGATTCCCTAACAAGGAATAAGATCTAAAACAGGAAGACAGTAAGAAATCTTTTGTGCATATTGTACATTATTTTTTAAGGTTACTAATTTTCTTTGCCTTTACAGTGAAATATCCATAAATCACATGAAATGGACTGAAGTATTATCTGCCCGTCGTGACACTGAACGTGGTGTATGCCAACTTAGTCCCAACTTACATCGAATTCCTTATGCACCCACAGGCGGACAGGAGCATTTTGTTGGCCAAATGCAGCTGGCTCTTTCTTACCAACTAAACAAGCTCCTGAAACATATACTGAACGTTCTAGCCAGATTTCATGGACTATGATAGCAGTGGTCATGACACATCGCAAAATAATTCTAACATGTAAATTTGGCATTTTTATACAACTTAGGCAACTTTCAAAGCCAAAGCTATAAATTAATACACCAAAGTATGCAAATGTTACACAAACTTCCTATATCTTTTTTGCTGTGAAAATTCACTGTATCGTTTTTGTATGAAATATAAATTTAGTCCATGAAAATGACAAGGACAATTGCTGAGTTTTTCTTGTTTTTGCTTTTAGAAGCACCAAAGCATCAAATTCTTTCTAAATATTTTGATAGAAGAAAATGTTCTTTGCAAAGGTACAAGTCCAGATATGATTTATAAACTGAGACAATCTGGTTGTTCATATACATTTTAAGGAGTATATTCGAATCGTTTCTGCAGTTCCCAGGGGGCTTTTGCTGAGCCTTGTTTATTTCTGCCTCCCTGATCCCTCTCTGGCAAACAGCAGACACTCAGTAAATGCTCATGGTTGACACTGCTGAAGGGCAGGAATAGTGTGCAATGTAATTTCTTTAACATAAATAAAAAGCCAGGCTTTCTTGGAAAAATCAAGAATGCATATAACCTCAACAATTAAAATCTAGAACCTTCCATCATGCTAAAAACATTTGTGACTGTTCTGGTGTGCCAACACTGGTTGTAAGTTACGTGTCAAGTGTTAGTTGGAATTTCTTGAACTTTGTCCACTGAGTCTTTAGTAAATTCATTTTCGCCCCTTCCCAAGGCTGTTTTCTTCCTCTCTCAGCTCAACCTGCTCATCCATGTGGAATGATTCACAAACACATTTAAATAAGAGAGGACAAATTATTATTTTCCTGTAGAAAGGCAGGGGTTTGATGAAATAAGGGGGAAATTAAGTATTTACCATATATTGTTGGGTTTTGCTTTGCCAATTACATGATAAACTCAGAAAAGTGGGAAAACCCTTAAGCCTGGTTGCATCTTGACTAAGGAAACCCAATTTGACTACAGGAAATTCTTTCTAAATCAGATGTCCCCCCTTTTGCTTCCTATGATGTGTCTGCTCCTGGCCATATTCAGTGTAAGCAGCACATGGCCAACCCGCTGTATGTGTGAACAGAGAGGGATGGATAGTTTCTCTGATCTGATCCTGATCTGACCTATCTTCACTCTGCGTCACATCCCAGATGCTCAACTCAGCCAGATGACTTGCAAAGCAGACCCATGAACCCACATGGTCTAGCTTCCTCATCTGACTTTTGATCAAATGGTGCTGAAGGTATGCTCTTAATGGAGGTGGCCCACATCCATAAGTCTAACATCTTGAATGTAGAATTGTGTTACTGTATCATTCAGAGAGAATTCTACCTGACAGAGTTCACCAAGTCTTTACTGACCATACTTCTACAATTGATTCCGAGGCACTTCTTCCATGATCCTTATTAGGAACAATGACACTCTTTAAGTCAAAGATGCTAAGAAGGGAAAAAACGACCCATAATAGTTGAAAATAACTGGACTAGAAAAATCAGGTATAAAAAGTTGGAAGTGGCTTACAGCTTTAGCTTTGGGAAGGAGTTATATTTCTTCTGGTGGGGCAGGAGTTTTCTGAAGGATAACAGAATGTAAGAGGTTATAAAATGAATGTCTCAACAGGGAGTTTTGGAGAACTGTAAATTTGGCTTATGGTAAAGCTTAGCCGGAGAGATCATGTCAAAAGATCATTATTTCGTGACCTTGAGGAACAGCAAGATCGTTAGAGGATTTCCTATTCCTGTCTGTGAATGCATGTCGATATTTATGGAGGTAGACTCACTTTATCTCCCTCTACACACACACACTTACACAAACGCACCACCCCTCTCAAGACTGGAGGCCCAGAGCATTGCTATACATATTCATGAGATAATTATTATTAATGTCACCAAGGTGCTTTTGTTCCTTCTCAGTAGAGACCAGTTTTTGCCCCTGGAAACCAATCAACTGCAGGCAAGATGACAGCTTCGAGGCAGCTCAGCTAAAACAAACCTGTGCATCTTATGTCTGAAATATAGATCATTTGACTGGGTACCGTGGGCTGCTCTTGCACTCCCACCTCATCATTAAGTTTATCTGGCAGAGATTTGCAACTTTGGTACCAAATACAGCATCCTTGGGGGCACAGTTGCCCGAGTTTGGAAAAACTGTACCCTGATTATTGCCTTCTTTTCTAAGAGCAAAAGTTAAACAAAAATTAAGGTGATTCTAAGACTTCTCAAGAGATTTCTGGGGGATGGTTTTTGTAAAAGGGCACTGAGAGAGAACTAGAATGTATTTGCTACTTTCATTATTAAAAAAAAAACATTTCATACAACAGGCTTTATTAAAAAGTTATCTCTAAGCATTATGGGCTCCGGTAGTCACACAGACAAACTTTTAAAAATGAAAACCAAAATTAGTGATGCCACTTAATTAGCTCCCTACGTATATGTCTAGACTCTCCCCCCACCAACTGGCCTGCCTGGTTATTCTATACGCATGATATACTATAACATGGGAAAGAAACTACTGTGAACTATTGCTTTTAATCAGAGAAAACTAATTACTTTTGGTTGGAATGAAAATGTTTACTTTTTGCCCAAGACTCAAGAAAACATGTTAAATAAAAGACTTATAGAAGAAGATGCCTACACCTCGTCAGTACCTCATTAGAAATGATTTTTGCTAGCCTCTTACCCTTCTTCACCACGTCAACATTCATCTTTCTGGGACGCTCTGATCCTCAGGAAAGCAGCAGTGAAAACTGCAGAAGCAGAAAGCATATGACAGCAGCGGGAGGCAGCAAGGGTGCCACTCACCTTAGGCATCCGGTCGCATTTCGCAGCACCTGTGAGGAATGCAGCTGTATTTTCCGATCATCCTGGAGTGGTGAATTTTCCCAGCCCGAATGGGGGATAATCACGGCATTGGTCAACACTGCCAGGGTGTCCTGGATGATTGGCATCTTGAGGGCGTCACAAGACGAGAGGTTCCAAAGGACTCCTGCAAGATACACACAAACAGAGCTTTTGGATGGCCACTCTTTTTTCTCATCTCAAAACCGTTTTCCCTAATCAAGTTAAAGTCAAGGGCAAGGCGGACTTAGAGAGCGTGAACGCGTGACCTAGAGCGCACCCTTGATTTTAGAACATCTCTGAGAACCCATTAAAGGGCTACTGTGAAAATCTGACAAGCGGGCATAAGACTTGTGACACCACTGTCTTTGTTCCATCTCGAAGAGGGTGAGGTCTGATTTGAACTATGGATACCAACCAGGCTTCTGTTCGCTTTTAACACAGCAGGGCTACGTATCCAAAAATCTAGCCAAGACAAAAGAATTGTGAAAGTTATCTGAGCTATGAACTAGCGGGACATCCTTGTTTTATCCAGGACCTCAATATGCACATATGGACAGTTGGATGCGGCCTCCATTTAGAAACGGCCACCAACACGCAGGACCTTATGAGAGTCCAGCATCAGGTCTGATGCTCAACAAGGAATTTAAACTCACTGTCACTTGTGACAGCTTTGTCAGTTTTTCTCAGAAGGCAATGCTCGTGGAGGACGCAGAGAACAGGGACCAGTAGAAAGCAGAGGACAGACTAGAACAGGAAGTAACGTAGACAGAGCAAGAGCTAAAGTTTCAGGACAGATGGCATGTTTTAGGGTTTCAAATATTTTTATTAACAATTTTTATTTATTTATTTATTTATTTATTTATTTATTTATTTTTTGGGACAGAGAGAGACAGAGCATGAACGGGGGAGGGGCAGAGAGAGAGGGAGACACAGAATCGGAAACAGGCTCCAGGCTCTGAGCCATCAGCCCAGAGCCCGACGCGGGGCTCGAACTCGCGGACCGCGAGATCGTGACCTGGCTGAAGTCGGACGCTTAACCGACTGTGCCACCCAGGCGCCCCTTATTAACAATTTTTAATGTTTATTTCTGAGAGAGAAAGAGAAAGACAGAGTGTGAGCAAGGGAGGGGCAGAGAGAGAGGGAGACACAGAATCCGAAGCGGGCTCCGGGCTCCGAGCTGGTAGCACAGAGCCTGACATGGGGCTCGAACTCACGAACGGTGAGATCATGACCTGAGCTGAAGTTGGACGCCTAACTGACAGAGCCACCAGGGGCCCCTTACATATTTTTAAAGGAAATCTTAAAAATAGGATTAAGTTTAGAAATGTTCCTAAGTACTACGTATAAGTTATAACATCTGAAAATGCTCTTAAAGAATTTTTTGTTGTTGTTCAAAACAGAACACATGAAGGTAAAATAAACAGAATTACATTCTGATTTTTTATGAAAGAAAGATTGTAGTTTCTTCTCAAGACTAATCTAAATATACATCATCATTGCAGACATGGAGAATAAAATATTTATTTTTAGAAACACAACTTCCAACTTACTTGCTTAATAAGCTTTCAATAAATGTTAACATGAGATTGCGTTTTATCTACTGTGTTATGAATAGAACAAACACAGGTACTTCTGAAATTTGTTAGTTTTTCATGGCACATGTTGAACTCACCAAGGGCATTAATAATACTCATCTGAGTGTTGACAATGTTTGATTGTTAACAACTGAAGGAACAGTTTTTTTTTTTTTTAATTTTTTTTTTTTTTCAACGTTTATTTATTTTTGGGACAGAGACAGACAGCATGAACGGGGGAGGGGCAGAGAGAGAGGGAGACACAGAATCGGAAACAGGCTCCAGGCTCTGAGCCATCAGCCCAGAGCCTGACGCGGGGCTCGAACTCCCGGACCGCGAGATCGTGACCTGGCTGAAGTCGGACGCTTAACCGACTGCGCCACCCAGGCGCCCCTGAAGGAACAGTTTTAAATCAGTTCTATAAAAATGTGACTATAGAGACAAATCCTCTCAGTTGTCTTTCAAAAAAACATTTGCTGGGAATTTTACTGAAGTAAATGCAAAGGAAACAAAATGTTTTTGCCGCCCCGTATATATAAACCAATCCTTTAGCACAGGGCGGTTGGCTCAAGGGCAAATCCTGCCGGCTTGTTTTGGTAAATCAAGTTTTATTAGAACATAGCCTTGCCTGTTTATTTACATACTGTCTGTGGCCTACAAGGGAAGAGTTGAATATTTGTGACACAGACTGCATGGCCCAGAAAGCCAAAATCATTTATTATGTGGCCCTTTATGGAAAGATTTCGCCCACCCTGCTTTAGTATACAGACCATTTTCTATAAACTTCTATGCACATGTTTGCATTACCATTAGAATTGCAGACTGGGCACACACAAAAAAATGCTCAGTGGTACACAGAAGGTGCTCAAAAATACATTCTGATGCGGACGGATTTGAAATGCTAGCAATATTATCACATACATTTATCTTGCTTTAAATAATATATAAAGCTGCTTATTCAGTCCATTAAGAGAGATTTTACCAAATTTTAGAAAATCAAAATACAGGGGCGCCTGGGTGGCTCAGTTGGTTAAGTGTCCAGCTTAGGCTCAGGTCCTGATCTCGTGGTTCGTGAGTTCGAGCCCCGCGTCGGGCTCTGGGCTGACAGTTCGGAGCCTGGAGCCTGCTTTGGATTCTGTGTCTCCCTCACTCTCTGCCCCTCCCCCCTCCCCTGCTCATGCTCTGTCTCTCTCTGTCTCAAAAATAAATAAAACATTAAAAAAATTTTTTAATGAAAATCAAAATACATTCATTTGCAGTCTTGTGAAAATTTTCTTTTCCCATAAAACAATTAGGTTTTCAGCTTTAAAAAAGCACATTACAATGAAATTAATATCTACCCAAGTATCTGAAGAAAACTTTAAAAAATATCACATTACAAGGATTGTGTCTGTTCTTCTAAGGATAAATGCACACACATAGAGCCAGAAAATATAATTTTTTTCATTCTTAAATCCCGATTTGAAAATACCAATACGTGAAAATTGAGGCATATATGTTTTAAAATATGGATGGTATTTTTTTTTTAAATATAATTTATTGTCAAGTTGGCTAACATACAGCATATATAGTGTGCTCTTGGTTTGGAGGGTAGATTCCCGTGATTCATCGCTTACGTACAATACCCATTTCTCATCTCAACAAGTGCCTTCCTCAATGCCCCCCCCCCCCACCCCCCCATCAACCCTCAGTTTGTTCTCTGTATTTAAGAGTCTCTTATGGTTTGCGTCCCTCCCTCTCTGTTTGTAACTATTTTTTTCCTGTTATGGGTGGTATGTTTTGCTCTAAAATACATTTCCTCTAAAACCTAATTAGTAAAAGAAAGTCTTCTGCATTTTTACATGCAATGAATTTAAAAGAATCTAAAGGCATTCTGCAAAAATAAAACAATCTTTACCGTTTTCTAATAAACAGGAAAAAGGTTTAAAGAGGGGAAAATCAAAGTGTGAAGGCCTAATCTAATATCTGACAAGAAGTGAATGATGGGACAGGAGATGTTCCAAGATAACTCTTTATTGGGCTCTTCTCTTCATTACCTTCCTCATTAATTCATTAATTAGTGTAACCTGATTCAGCATTTAGCATGGACAGAAGTTTCCTTGTTTCCATTCATCCCACCTTCCAGACTGGCTCCATCCGTGTTTCATGTTCCAGACAGCTTATCATTGCTCTAGATCCTGCCTCTGAACTTCCTATACTAATTCCCATCTGCAACCCCCAAGTGCTTCCTGACCCGTGAGGGGTGCACTGGACCTGTGATTGGGGGCAGCTTTTATCTCCTCTGTTTCAATGAGGGCTTGGCCAGATGGATGTAATGCGGCAGAATTTCTTTTGAGGGGAGTTTTGGTTACAGAGAGTTTTGGTTACATTATCTGGACGTATAGACCCGCTCGAGTGTAGAACCAGAGGTCTCTGGGGGTTATTTGAGATAAAGGTTGACATGTCTGACAGGAGTCAAAAGCGGGAAACAGCCAGAACTCTAAAGCTGTCTTGTTACAGACAGACACACACACACTCACACACACACACACACACACACACACACACACACACACCCCCTCTACACACACATCCATAGTCCTGGCAGACGGGAGAGAGATTACTCGAGAAAAATGGGCATATCTAGGCATTCTCTATAAAGAAACGAGAAGTCATTGTTCTGCTTAAATTTCTCTTCACTCTGTCCTCTTCCTTCTGTGCTGGCTTAACATTTTTGTTATTCTCTTTTTTGACATCCCCTTCTAATCCCGGAGCCCAATCCTTCTCGCTGGGAGTGAGCACTGGACTTAGAGACTTGCCCTAACTGACGTAACATGGTGGAGGTGGCTTTGGAGACTCAGTCACAGAAAAGGTACCGCTGCTCCCTCCAAGTTCTGTCTCGGCTTCTGCTGGTTGGAGGGGAAGCCAGCTGTCCCGCTGGGAAGATCTTCCAGTGCTGCTCTGAAGAGGCCTACGGGGCAAAGAACCAAGGTCTCCAGCCAACAGCCACGTGGAGACTGCCTCGGGCGCAGAACCTCCGGGTCCAGGTAAGGCTTCAGATGACACAGTCTCACGTGGGACCCTGAGCCAGAACCACCCAGATTTGCCACCCCTGGAGTCCTGACACTCAGACGCTGCATGGGATCCCTTCTCTTCCCCCTCCTTTGTCTCTGTCTCTGGGCTCAGTTTTTTCCCTTCTACCACACTTTTTTCCTGGTTACCCCTCTCGTAACTTAGAGCCCCTGGTTCTCTTACCCTCTTCATTTGCTGTGAGAGAACAGAAGATACAGGAAGGAGGATCCACCTAAATACTGCAACTAAATACAAAGTGCATTTTAATATAGATTACAAATGCTGATTTTTTTTTTAGTACACGTGCTGCCGAAGTGAGCGTGATAAGTGATTGACTTTTAAGAATGTAACCATTGGGGCGCCTGGGTGGCGCAGTCGGTTAAGCGTCCGACTTCAGCCAGGTCACGATCTCGCGGTCCGCGAGTTCGAGCCCCGCGTCGGGCTCTGGGCTGATGGCTCAGAGCCTGGAGCCTGTTTCCGATTCTGTGTCTCCCTCTCTCTCTGCCCCTCCCCCGTTCAT